CAGACTCAGAAGAAGGGAGAGGCCATCCATTTCTCAAAGAACCGGCCAGTGAAAACCTTATGAACAGCAGTGAAACATCATCCAATATAGTGCCAGAAGATGAGGTCCTCAGTTTGGAAGTCACTCAAAATATGACTGTCTCCTCAGAGTAGAGCTGACCTTAATGATGTGGATGGAGTAAAGCTCTGGGGACCTTCATATGTTGATGTGGCATGACTTAAAATGAGAAGAAACACCTGCAAACATCCACTAATAATCGGAACATGGAATGTATAAAGTATGAATCTAAGAAAATTAGAAATTGTCAAAAATTAAATGGAATGCATAAAGATTGGTATCATAGGAATTAGGGAGCTCTGGTAGCATAATACCTAAGGCATCTGACTGCTAACCAGAAGGCTGGCAGTTCAAACCCACCAGCCACTCCTCAGAAGGACGACTGGCCAATCTACTTCTGTAGAGATACCACCTCAGAAACCCAAAGAGGGGTCATTATGAGTTGAAGTCAACTCAATGGCAGAGAGTTTAGTTTAGTTTTGTTTTTTAGTGAGCTGAAATGGATGGGTTTTGGCCATTTTGAATCAGACAAGCATATGATCTACTATGCCAGGAATGACAAGTTCAAGAGGAATAACATGGCATTCATCATCATATAGAATGTTTCAAGATCTATCCCGAAGTACAATGTTGTCAGTGATAGGATAATATCCATATACCTACAAGGAAGACCACTTAATACTGCTATTATTCAAATCTACTCACCAACCACTGAAGCCAAAGATGGGGAAATTGAAGATTTTTACCCACTTCTGCAGTCTGAAATTGATACATGCAATCAAGATGTGTTGATTATCACTGGCCATTGGAATGCAAAAGTTGGAAACAAAGAAGAATCACCGGTAGTTGGAAAACACAGCCTGGGTGATGAAAATAACGTTAGAGAGTGCATGATAGAATTATTGTGAGGCCACTGACATATTCATTGCAATTTCCTTTTTTGAAAGACACAAATGGTGGCTATACACATGCACTTCACCACATGGAGTACACAAGAATCAGATCTACATCTGTGGCAAGAGGCAATGGAAAAGCTCAGTATCTTCAGCCAAAACAAGGCCAGGAGTTGGTTGTGGAACAGACAATCAATTGCTCATATGCAAGTTCAAATTGAAGCTAAAGACAATTAAAACAAAACCACAAGAGCCAAAATATGACCTTCATTATATCCTAAATTTAGAGACCATCCAAAGAATAGATTTGATGCATTGAGCACCAGTGACCAAAAACCAGAGGAATTGTGGGATGACATCAAGAACATCATACAGAAAGAAAGCAAAAGGGCATTAAAAAGACATGAAAGGAAGAAAAGACCAAAATGGATGTCAGAAGAGACTCTGGAACTTGCCCTCGAATGGAGAGTAGCTAAAGCAAATGGGAGAAATGATGACATAAAAGAGCCAAACAGAAGATTTCAAAGAGCAGCTCGAGAAGACAGTCAAGTATTATAATGAAATGTGCAAAGACCTGTAGTTAGAAAACCAAAAGCGAAGAACACACTCAGCATTTCTCAAGCTGAAAGAATTGAAGAAAAAACTTAAGCCTCAAGTTGCAATACCAAAAGACCCTACGGGTAATAGATTGAATGATGCAGGAAACATCAAAAGAAGATGAAAGGAATACAGAGTCACTGTACCAAAAGAATTAGGCAATGTTCACCCATTTCAGGAAGTGGTATATGATCAAGAACCACTGGTACTGAAGGAAGAAGTTGAAGCTGCACTAAAGGAATTGGTGAAAAACAAGGCTGCAGGAATTGACTGAATACTCATTGAGATGTTTCAACAAAAAGATGCTGCACCAGAGGCACTCACTCATCTATGCCAAGAGATTTTGAAGACAGCTACCTGGTCAACTGACTGGAATTGTACCAATTGTACCAATTCCAAAGAAAGGGGTAACAAAGAATGTAGAAATTATTGAACAATATCATTAATATCACATGCAAGCAAAATCTTAGTGAAGATAACTCAAAAATTGTTGCAGCAGTATATTGACAGAGAACTTCCAGAAATGCAAGCTGGATTCAGAAGAGGACTTCAAATGAGTGATATCATTGCTGATGTCATATGGATCTTGGCTGAAAGCAAAGAATACCAGACACATGTTTACTTGTTTTATTGACTATGCAAAAGCATTCAATTGTGTGGTTCATAACAAATTATGGATAACATTGAGAAGAATGGAAATTCTAGAACACATAATCGTACTCATGAGGAACCTGTACATAGACCAGGAAGCTGTTGTTCGAACAGAACAAGGGGATACTGCATGGTTTAAAATCAGGAAGGGAGTGAGTTAGTGTTGTATCCTTTCACCGTACTTATTCAACCTGTATGCTAAGCCAATAATCCAAGAACCTGGACTATATGAAGAAGAATGTGGCATCAGGATTGGCGGAAGAATCATTAACAACCTACAATATGCAGACAACACAACTTTGCTTGCTGGAAGTGAAGATGACTTGAAGCACTCACTGATGAAGATTAAAGACTACAGTCTCCAGTATTGGTTACATCTCAACTTAAAGAAAACAAAAATTCTCACAACTGGACCAATAAATACCATCATGATAAATAGAAAATAGTTGTCGGAGATTTCATGTTACTTGGTTCCAGAGTCAACACCAATGGAAACAGCAATCAAGACATCAGACGACGTACTGCACTGGGCAAATCTGCTGCAAAAGACCTTTTTCAAGTGCTGAAGAGCAAAGCTGTCTCCTTGAAGACTAAGGTGCACCTGACCTAAACCATGGTATTTTCAATCACTTCACGTGCATGTGAAAGTTGGACAATGAATAAGGAAGACCGAAGAAGAGTTGATCCTTTTGAGTTGTGGTGCTGGAGAAGAATACTGAAAGTACCATGGACTGCCAAAAGAACTAACAAATCTGTCCTGGAAGAAGCGCACCTGGAATGCTCCTTGGAAGTGAGAATGGCCAGACTTTGTGTCACCTACTTTGGTCACGTTGTCAGAAGGGACCATTCTCTGGAGAAGGATATCATGCTTGGTAAAGTGGAGGGTCAATGAAAAAGGGGAAAGCTCTCAACAAGATGGACTGACATAGTGGTTGCAACAATGAGTTCAGTTGTAGGAAGTATTATGAGGCTGGCACAGGACCGGGCAGTGTTTTGTTCTGTTGCACACAGGGTCGCTATGAGTCAGAGATGACTCAACAGCACCTAATGACAACAACAACGGATTCAGGTCAGTTCATTGCATGATTTTAAAAAAATGAATACATATGTTATGCATGTATTTGCATACAAAATTTTAAGAAAGATACAATAGAAATACTCCATGGTTACCTCTGGAGAAGTTCAATACTGAGTAGAGCTGAGAGAGATTTTTTTCTTTTCATTTTATATTCTTCTGTCACTTTTATTTTAAACCATAAGAACCTACTACTTACATAATGAACAAAAGTAAAAGTAATAGAGGAAAAGTGATGTCAAATACTGAACAATGGTCAAGTGTGGTTAGGACTGAGAAGCAGCCACTGGATTTGGCAATAAGGACCAAAACTAAGAAACCTGTGGGAGCAAACCAAAAAAAAACCATGTGATGGTTGCCATGAAGTCAATTCAGACTCATAGAGACTCTATAGGGACTGAGCAGAACTACCTCATAGGGTTTGCAAATCTGTAAATCGTTACAGAAGCCGACTGACTCATCTTCCCCCTGTGGTGCAGATGGTAGGTTCAAACTGCTTTCCCTTAGCAGCCAACCAAGTACTTAACCACTACATCACCAGGGCTTCTTATAAATTAGGCACAGGGCCTGTGCTTGGCATGGTCAGGTCAGTGTGGCTGTACCAGAGTCAACAAGGGGGAAAGGAAAAGGAAACATGCACAAAAAAGTAAACAGAAGCCAGAACAACTCACTCAAACTCACTGCCATGGAGCTGGATCTGACTCATAACAACCCCTCCTTGGGTTTCTGAGGTGGTAACACTACAGAAGTAGATTGTTCAATCTTCGCAAGAGGAGTGGCTAGTGGATTTGAACGGCCAGGCTTCTGGTTAGCAGTCAAGTGCCTTAGGCACTTACACTACCAGAAGACTAAGAAGACAGATGCTCTGGGCACTTCTATTAGAGTTTGGTAGAATGAGATTAAGTTCCTGGGTGAAGCAAACGGTTAAGCTCTGGACTATTTGTCAAAAGGTTGGCAGTTCAAGCCCACTTACAGGTTCTTGGAAGACAAGCAAAGCTATCTGCTTCCTAAAGGCCACAGCCTTGAAAACCCTTTGGAGCAGTTCTACTCTGCCCACATGGGGTCGCCCTAAATTGGAATCAACATCACGGCAACAAACACAAAGTGTCACGGAGCCAAATAGGAAATTGTGTGGCGGCCAACGAGGTGAGAGAAAATCAAGGAGAGTGTGTACAGCTCCCAAAGTCTAATGTGGCAAAAAATTTCCCTTTCTAATTCATAGATTGCTTGCTGACTGCGCTATTCCAAAGCATTTACCACACATTGCTTTCTACTGAAGGTTGTGAAAATAAAAACGGTAGTCTATTACAATGTCTGATGCATGTTACATGTTTTTATTTTGTCTCCAGTCGTCATGACTGCAAGCTCTTAGAGAACGGAAATTAATGTATTCTGTATGGTCCCCAAAGCACCTCGTACAAATGGAGTGTCTGAAGAACACTCCTGCCCCTAAATTCATAATATAGGACGGTTGTAACTAACTACAATCTCCTAAGTAACTGATTCGCGCTGAAATCCAGGGCCATCAGGCTTCACCCTCCCAGCATCCGGAGCTCCTCCTTAAGACTCTGTCCAACGGTGCAACGGTAAGGGCAGGAAGCCCTGCACCTCTAGCAGAGGAGTGAAATTATCAAGAGACCCACGGCAGTACCCAGACGACGGCAGGTGGGTAATCAAAAGGGGCGAGCGGGGAAACACTGTGAGCCCGAGCCGGGCAGAGTACACACCTGGATGATTCGCTGCTTTAGCTTTTTATCTACGAACGCTGCGGGCCTGGGCTTCATCGCGTCTGCCTCGGAAACCACAGCTCCAGCCTCCAGTTCCACGTGAGACGGAACTTGCGTGTTGTGGGGGCGGGGGAGCCTCGGGGCTGCCGTTAGCGATCGCCGGTCTAGCTGCCCCTGAAATGCACTCCGCCCTGCCTAGTCCGAACCGTTGCCCCCAGGACAGAAGTATTGCAAGTAGAAAAAATTACCGACCAGAAGGAGAAGAAAACATCAGGCTGTTTCTAGGCGTTTTATTTTGCAGGCCTTTCCAATAGGACCTGGATGATAAGGACCCATTTGAACACGCCCAACTTTATTGATTCCCAGTTGACAGACACGGACCCAGGGCTGGCTTTTGCGCGGGCACCTTGAGTCGCTGTTGCCTGCGTGTTGTTGTTGGATTGGCTTGTCACATTACAGCGACTCCAGCCACAGTGATTCATAACCAAGAATCTTAATAAAATAAAGCAATGTAGATACGTGAAGGAGCCCTAGTGGCGCAATGGTTAAAGCGCTCGGCAGCGAATCAGAACGGCAGCACTTGGAACCTATCAGCCGCTTGGCGGGAGAAAGAGGAGGCAGTTGGAAACCCTGAGGGGCAGTCCTATAGTGTCGCTATGAGTCGGAATCCACTAGAAGGCGTGAGTTTGTTTTGGTTGAAACTTGGGAGGATTAAATTGGATCAAAAGCATAGTCCCCACTTGCTTTTTCTCCTAATAACTTACTCTTCGGAGGCCTGAAAAAAGGGATATCATTTGTTAATCTGGAAATAATTTGATTTAACGGTATTATAAACAGATAATTTATTGAGCACATCCAGTGCAAGACTCCATGTTGGTGTAGAAGCTGCCCAGAATTTTATTAAACGGCGGTATCTGCCCCAAGTAGTTGAAAGTGCGGTAAGGAAGAAACAAATAATGGAAAAACTGTCTTTTTTTTCTTTTTAAAGAAGTGCTGGGCTTAGTTTTTATTTCTTTGTTTTGATGTACTTTCAAAATTCTTATTTCAGGTCTTATTCGGCTTATGGAAATATTAAATGGAGCCCAAGAAGTGTACTGAGTAGGGTTTTGAGCCATTGCATTCTGGTTTGACTCTCTGCTGATAATTTGCATTTCCACCCACATACACTACATTTTCACAAGATCCCCAGGTAGGTTTTTTTATTGTGCTTTACGTGGAAGTTTGTATTGCAAGCTAGTTTTCCAATTAATAATTCATACACAAATTGTTCTGTGACATTGGTTGCAACCCCCACCCTTCACCCCCAATATGTCAGCACTCTTCCCATTGCATCTGTGGGTTCCCAATTTCCATTCATCTGGTTTCCCTGCCATCCCCCCTACCTTCTCATCTTCGGTTATGGGCAAATGTTGCCCTTTTGTTCTCATGTAGTTAACTGTTCTGAGCACATTCTTCGGTTTTTGTTGTTTATTATATAGGCTCCTCTATTATTTGAGAGGTCGCCTTGGGGGTGTCTTGAGTTTCAAGTTAGAAGCTTGTTTTAGGGCAGTAGTCTCGGAATTTCCTGCAGTCTCTTTCAGACCAGTAAGTCTGTTTTTTGTTTTTTTTTTTTTAATTTAGATCTCCATTTTTACCCATTCTAACCTAGACTTTCTATTGTGGTCCTGGTCAGCATGGATGGTAGTAGTAGCCAGGCACCTTCTAGTTCTTTTTGTAGTCTCAGGTTAGAGGAGGCTGTAGTTCCTATGGGCCATTAATCCTTTGGACTAAGTGTTTGGTTTTCTTCATTCACCTTTCCTCCAGGTAGGAAAAGAACAATAGTTGTTTCTTAGATGGCTTCTGGCAAGCTTTTAAGACCCAGGTACCCTCACTAAACTAGGGTGTAGAACATTATCTTTATGAGCTGTATTTTGCCAATTGACCAAGATGTCCCCCAAGATTAGCCTTCAAGTCCAGTAGTTCAGTCCTGATGCCTTAAGTAGTTTCTATACCTGTGCCCATCTTATGTGTTCTCTTACATATATGAGTATGCATGCAAAAATTCCCATAACTAGTCCAATAAGCAACATTATGAAAAACAGAGAAAAGACTGAAGTTGTCAAAGATTTCATTTTACTTGGATCCACAATCAATACCCATGGAAGCAACAGTCAAGAAATCACATGACATTGCACCAGGCAAATCTGCTGCAAAATACCTCTTTAAAGTGTTAAAGAGCAAATATGTCACTTTGAAGACTAAGGTGTGCCTGACCTAAGCCATGGTCTTTTCGATAGCCTCATATGCATGTGAAATCTGGACAGTGAATAAGGAAGACTGCAGAAGAACTGATGCATTTGAGTTGTGGTATTGGCAAAACTGAATATACCATGGGAGCTCTGGCGGTGTAGTGCTTAAGATTTTTGACTGCTAATCAGAAGGCTGCCAGTTCCAACCCACCAGCCACTCCTCGGAAGGAAGACTGGGCAATCTACTTCCGTAGCGGTACCGCCTTGGAAAGCCAAGGAGCAGTCACTATGAGTCGGATCTGATTCAACAGCAGTGAGTGAGTTGCTTTTTTTTTTTTTTTAATACCATGGACTGCCAGGAGAAAGAACAAATCTGTCTTAGAAGTATAGCTGGAATGGTCCTTAGTAGCGAGAGTGGCCAGACTTCATCTCTCATACTTTGATCATGTAATCAGAAGGGACCAGTCCCCGGAGAAGGATGTCATGCTTGGTAAAATAGAGGGTCAGTGAAAAAGGGGAAGACTTCTTGATGAGATGGATTGACACAGTGGCTGCAACAATGGATGGTGCGGGATGGCAGTGTTTCATTCTGTTGTGCATAGGGTCATATGAGTTGGAACAGACTCAACAGCACGTAACAACAACAACATGCATGCAGCATTTACAGATATGTGTTTAGAAATATCCTTAACCATACATACATATGTACATAGGTACTCTCCCATTCAGTCTCTCCTATTTAACTTACGTATTTACCTATGTATCTACTCACAAATTATTGTTTGCTATTACTGTTGTTGCAGGATTGTGTACATTACAGCACTTAACCATAGCTGCCCATCATTCTCTCATACCTCTCATTGTCTTCTTTTACCTTGGTCACATTGCACTGACTTTCCCCATATTGTGTATTGCCTTTTCCTTCACCATAATTAACACTTGTGTACTATCTAGTCTCAGAAGGAAGGTTGGGAATCTACTTCTGTAGTGATACCGCCTCAGAAACCCAAAGAGGGGTTGCTGTGAGTCAGAGCCAACTCGATGGCAGTGAGTTTGGTTTGGTGGTTTGGTGCTATCTAGTTAGTGATTCTCACACCCTTTCCCTTCTATCCTTGGTAACCATCAAAGAAATGTTACTTTCTGTATATAAATTTATTGACTTTTTATAATAGTGGTCTCACAATATATATCGTTTTGTGATTGACTTATTTCACTTAGCATAATGTCCTCCAGATTCATCCATGTTGTGAGATGTTCTGCAGATTCATCATCATTGTGTACTATTCCGTTGTATGTATGTACCACAGTTTATCCATTTATCCATTGATGTACATTTAGGTGTTTCCATCTTTTTGCTAATGTGAATAATACTGTGATGAACATGGGTGTGCATTTGTGTCACAGCTCTTACTTCTCTAGGATATATACCTAGGAATGGGATTGTTGGATCATGTGTTACTTGTATTTCTAGCTTTTAAGGAAGTGCCATAACATTTTCCATAGCAGCTGTGCCATTTTGCAGTCCCTACTTGCCAGCATTTTTTTAATTTTATTTTTTTAAAATCTCTGCCATTATTGCCTGTGGTGAGATGGTATCTTATTGTAGTTTTGATTTGCATATCTCCAATGGCTAATGAAGGAGCTGTGGTGGCATAGTGCCTAAGACATTTGACTGCTAACCAGAAGGTTGGCGGTTCAAACCCACCAATTGCTCTGTGAAAGAAAGATGGGGCAGTCTACTTCTGTAAAGATTTACTACCTCGGAAACCCAGTGGGGGTCATTATGAGTCTGAATCAACTCAATGGCGGTGAGTTGTTTTATTTTTATTTTAATGGCTCATGATCACAAGCATCTTCTCATGTGTTTGTTAGCAACCTGAATGTCCTCTTTCATGAAGTGTCTGTTTATGTCCTTTGCCCATTTATCAATTGGGTTTTTGTCTTTGTTGTTGAGGTGTTGAAGTTTCCTAAAGTGATTCTTTTTTATTTTTTTGGATATATAATAAGTGCTCCATACGTTTGTTAGTATCAGCATTCAAAGCTGATGAGGAACAGTAGACAATTATAACAAAGACACTTATATCATATATACCTCACAGCTGGAATATTACTTTAAGAAGAAAATTCTGGCTACTAAACTGATTAAATATCAACTATACATTTTGTTAAAATATTTCTAATGGTAGCATTATTTTCAATAGTCACAAGATGCAAATAATCTGGAAGTCCAACAATAAAGAAATAGTTGAACTGATAAACATATATATGATTGTAGCTGCTAAAATATCATCTTTTCTACATAGCATGCTTCTATGTAAATATATCATGTGGGACAAGGATTAAAATATTATGTAAATGTCAATACATCTATTTATCATTTAACTGACTATTCGAAATATCTCTCTATCTATATAAGGACTGGAAGGAAATGTAGCTGTATATTAACAATAATAATCCCTGGATAGAGTGATTATGGGTAATTAAATTTTTTTCTCCAATTATCTACTATGAGTTCCCTATTTTTGTAGTCATGAAGTACAATTGAAATAAAATAAAAAATTAATGCAGCTATTATATAAGCCACACATATATAATCTATATTATTATCACATCATCTTTCCTTCATAGATGCTTCTCTGTGCAAAGCAGGAAGGGCTCAATCTACACTGTGTGCTTGTGTTTTGGTTTACAGTGCATCTCATCATTATACCCTAGAGCACATGGACCAGGCCTTTTTTGGTCGAATTTGATTCCCACTTTCACAGTTTCTGTTAGGTTTTTTTTTTTATCTGTTTTTCTTTTTTGGGGTGGGGGGGATTTGGGTGAAGATTTACAGAGCAAATTCACTTTCCATACAGCAGTTCACATATACTT